AGAGAGAGAGAGAGAAAGAGAGGAGAGAGAGAGAGAGAGAGAGAGAGAGGTGCAATGATGAGGTAAATTGCCATCGGCAAGTAGACCTTTGTCAGACATATGAATGACCTTAGGCTCTTTCAGCACTGAGAAAGGAACTCTCCATATCTTTGAAACTCTGCTGTGAGACAGTTTTCATTTAGGCACAGTTAAGACACTAAGTTGTATTTGTCTCCATTCATAAGACTCTACCTTAAATACTCTGCCGAATTAGATAGGGTCTTAACTGTGTATGTATGTATGCAAAAACTCCAAATATTGGATTTAAATCATAGAAGAGTTCAGTCCTCAGTAGCATGACCAAAAGAAAAAGAAAACACAGTTAAAACAGACATTTTTGCATTGGATCATGCACTATTAACTCACATCAAGTTATACTTTCACTCTTCATCAAGTTTAGGTGTCAAATCTTAACATTAAAACTAACTTGTGTTTAAATCCCCTAGGGACCTAACCAAGGAAGACTAGTTCCTAGATTAAGTGTTGGTGCTGTCAGTAGCAGACCTACTACTCCTACTGTAGGTAAGTTAAAGAGGGAACTGGCATTTCTGGACAGTGAAAACATCGTCTCAGCATTTGCTTTTGAACCATAACCCAAGTCAAAATGAGAGTCAGAAACTCTGGTATGTTGCCAATGATAATTTTACTCAATGAAAAAAAAAACCCACAAAGACTGATCCCAAATGGCATTGGCCCAACTCTTACTGTTATAAACTGTGATTCTAGAAACACTTAGACCTTTTATGCTTCGAGTCACCAAGCACACCCATGCCAACTTAATCGAAACTCCATAAATTGAGTACAGGTTCAAAGAAGTTTAAAATCTATAGAAAGCTCAAGGATCTTAAAAACAGGTTTTAATACTTATCTTTTAAAAAACAGTACAAGGACCATCCTGGGTGACATAGAAAGACTCCATTTCAAAACAGAAAATCATAGTAATTATCTTATACTGGTCAGTGAGAACCCTCAAGGTGTGTCCCATAATGAATTTAATAGCTCTCCATCATACTGTGTACATTTCTGACATACAATGGTCAAAGCCTGTCTTATATTCTTTTCCAGCTTTTGGAATCAACCACTTTTCCAAAGACCCTTAGTTCTTTTTAGTGAATGGTGTTTAGGAACCATTATTTGTAACAATTAAAAAAAAACAAGCTTTCTGATTTTTTTCATGTTTTCTGATTTTTCATGTTTTGCAGGGAAAAAATCCTCTTCTTTTTTCACTTGTACTAATTTCATGGCTCTTGCTGCTTTTAATTTGAGTCTTTCCAGTGTCATTACACTTCTAGTATAAGAATGATTAATTTTTTTAAATGCTGGGTCTTAATCTGTAATGCAGGATAATCTTAAAAGTCTTTATCCTCCAGCCTTTGAGCATTCAGATTACAGTTGAGGAATACTGCCTAGCTAGCATTTGATTTTAGAGGTGTGAAGCATCTCTGTATTCTCAGTATATAAATTTACATGTCAGCATTTTAAAACTGTTGTTCAGTGTGTAGCTCTAATACCCTGCACATACCCTCAGGTGAGCAGAAATTTGTATGTAAAATCTGTATAACTTTTCAGTCATGTACTACTTACCTGTGTATTCACATTAAGTGAATATCAGATTTTTGCTTTTTTCTTTTTTTTTTTTTTGAAAGTTATCTCGCTATGTAGCTCAGGCTTGCATTGAACTTCTAAACTCAAGAGTTCTGCCAGGCTCTGCCTCTTGACTAGCTACAGGTATGTGCCACTGCACATGAAACAGCAGGATGTAGTTATCAGTTACATGTAACAGGCAAGTAAGCAAATTTCAGTTACCAGTTGCCTTTTACATTACTAAACATTTGTTCTACATTCCTTAGCATGTAACACCTAGAATATAAATCTTAATTCAGAATTTCTCTTAAAGATGTAATCTTCAAAATTAAGCAAACTTGCACTTTTTTAGCACAGTAAACACACTAAAGTGAGGGGAAAAATTCCCAAGAGAGAGATTATATAAGAATACCCATTGTAAATTTTGTAAATTACTCTGCCCTCATTTCTACTGACATTTTCTCATCTCCCATCAGCCCTCTATACTTTGAAGGTGTATTCCTGTAAGCTATGGAGTATAGAATATAAATATAAGTCATCTAACTGATATGATCTGTTCATTGTAACTACAGCAGCCCCACAAGCAGTATCTGTCCCAAATAAAGTTCCAGCTCCAGTGTCAGTGACAAGCCAAAGATTTGCAGTGCAGATTCCACCTTCTCAGTCCACACCTGCCAAACCAGGTAATGTGATATGGAAGCAGGGACAGAATTCATGAGTAATTTTCAATTATAGGACAGTTTGTATTATTGTAGTGTCACATCAGAGAGGTGACAGGTAGAGCTTCAAACAAGGTCCCCACCATTAGCGGAAGTTTTACATATATGTAACATTTCAGGAGGGTGGCATGTGGAGTGTGCTCATCAAATACTAAAATACTATACACTAAAAGAAATTGGAGTTCACAGATCAAAGGTGTCCAGGGAAAAGCACTTTGAGTAAAAATTGAAGAAAATGCTACCACTTAGTGAAGAATGTGCATGAACCCATGGTAAATGTGAATGAAAATGTGCCTATATTCACTTCATAGGTGGCAGCTGTGATTGGCATAAAGTAAAGACTGCTGACATAGCAATTTACTTATGTGTGTGTTTAGATTGCATGTCTTTTAAAACTATCTCCATACAAGAAACAACTTTGATAAAAGTTGGGCCAGCAAGATGGTGCCAGCAAGATTGCTCGGTGGATAAGGGCATTTACCACCAAGCCTGATGACCTGGGCTCAATCCCCAGGACCCACATATTGTAAAGAGAACTGCCCCCCAACGTTGTCATGTGTTCCTTGTTTCACACACACCTGCACATATACACAGAGAAGTAACTAAGTGCAATTATTTTGAAAAAATGCCCTACAAAAGAAGCATGTCTCCAGGCCTTCTGCATGAATCTAGTGCACTGAAAGCTAATTAGAAATTTGGGTAATTAAAAATTAAACAAGATTCTGTTAACTTTGCAATAGATAGGTTTAGGCATACTTATCTATATATACATAGATCCAAACATTCTTATATCTGATAAATATCACTACTAGCAAATTTAAACTAAAAATGTTTAAAGATTAAATCCCACTCTTAGTAATTACTTGTATTTCGTCTATGATGCAGTTATGTGCTCTGCTATTGAAACTTGTATAAAAATTACATTCTCTTTTCTTGTCTATTTTGGATTATGGGTAATTGACCTGTGGGGGTTTTCTTCTGTTTTTAGCTCCTGCGACTACTGCAGTCCAAAATGTTCTGATTAATCCTTCAATGATTGGGTCCAAAAATATTCTCATTACCACCAGCATGGTTTCCTCACAGAACACAGCCAGTGACTCAAACCCACTGAAGAGGAAGCATGATGATGATGATGATGATGATGATGATGATGATGATGACGATGATGATGATACTATGTAAGGAATAAAGTCTGTTCTACATGCATTAAAATCTTAGTGCGTTTGGGCCCATATGGTGTACTGAACAGCCTAGGTCTTCGTAAGTTTTATCGTAGAAATGTAGTGGCAATATTTTTCACTTTAGTCACACCTGGTAGTTTTTGTTATGAGTACAAATGTTTTCTCAGTAGGCTTCAAATATACAAGTACTTGTCTCTAGACTGCTTCGTTAGTGTTGAGTATCACCATGGCAATTCTATTTTTAGAAGCAGTTTTGTGCCATATGTCACTGACAGCAGCACTTGGATTTCAGTATCCTGATCTCATTTACATCTAAAGATGACTTTCTTTTGTTAGATGACCTGTTCACATTGTCATTTTTTGACCAAATCCCTCAATTTACTGAACTTTTTTTTTGAAACAGTGGATTCAGAAGGGGGCTGAATCCATATTGCATGTATTTGGGGTTTGGTCTTTTCTAATGCCCCACCTCAGCTCCTTATCCAGATCCCATTTGTTTTCTGTTCCCACCTCTCATCGCCTTAAGTCACATAGCATTTTTTTGATACAGGTAAAGAAACATGTTTTTATTCCTGTGAATTCAGGTTGAGGAACTAAGCAATGTCACCAGCCGCATTGCACTTAAATTTAAGATTGCAACTGGAATTTGTAAAATGCCTGGCGTTCTGTAGTTCATTTGAACCTGAGTGTCTGCATTTTCCGTAACAGAGAAGTTGGGTCTTGGCCCTTGCCTTTCCATGCCTGTTAAACTTTACTCATTGACAGGCAGTTTCCTATCAGTTACATTCAGTTGCCTTCTAAGTTGATAGCTTCACCAACTTTCATGTTTATAATTTAACAGACACATTATAATGTAAAAGCTGCCTAGTAAGCAATTTACACTGGACCTAAACAAACCACTGAAGAGCAAGTGTCTTTGTATATGCTTTGTTTACTACTGCTTGGACAAGTCTATTGGTTTCATTCAGATCATCTGTCTAGCTTGTTGGTGAGGGTGTCACACATGGGATCAAGCCTGAAAGTGGATTCCAATGTTTGTCCTTCCCCATCAGGCCAACAGGGAAAACAGATTAGTGTCACCTGACTGCATTTACACATGCCCTACAGAAATTTCCCAACCATGTTTCTAAACACTATTTTGCTTTTATGCATACCTATAAGACTCACTGGGAAAGACTGCTAAGCTTTCTGGAGAGCATACTGTTTGGTTAATTTAAGTTCCACATAGCCAACACTGGAAAAATATAAAACTTTCCAAAACCTTCACATTATTTAGATTTATAGCCATGGGTCATCAAAAGTATCAGTATAGGGTGGTGTTTCGCACATGAAACATAGTATAGTAACAAGACAGAAATGTCCGTTTGAATGTTTAGGAATGTTAGGGAAAGTTGATCTGATCAATATAAGAGAAATGTGCATTATATAGCAGGGATGTCACTACTTGAATGTTCTCAGGGAGGCAGAATAGCAGGCGGCCTAGGTTCTAGTACTAGTTTCATTACCAACCATGTGACCTTACTTTACCTCTCAGCCTTGTCCTCACTAGTAATAGGGAAGTAACACCGACCCTGCCTACCTCACAGGGATGTTGTGAGGCTTTAGCTTGTGTGTGTGTGTGTGTGTGTGTGTGTGTGTGTGTGTGTGTGTGAAAAAGTTCAAGATTGTAAAAGCTATGTGAAGTAAATGGTAATGTATTTGTTCCAAGGTTATTAATAAAAAAAATTAAGTTTATCAGTAACATTTCTTTTCTGACTGAAGAGATTCAAGAAAAGTGAGTAAGGCAACAGTATAGCAATTCAGATCTACTGATGTGGCATCAGGGGACAGCTGGCTTTCACAGGGAATTGGCATTTGGCTCATGAAAATCAAAGATGGGTTTAAATCTTAGAAACTGAAGATGCTCTTTGAGAATTTGTATATAGAGCTCTGAACTAAACTAAAACTGGTCTTAGGAAGGGTGCATTTCAGGAGTGAAGCCAGTAGACAGGTAGGAAGGGGACTTCTCACTGTACACCCTTTCTGATTACATGGAATCAAAATTGGGTATTGGAAAAGCAGGAAACACATGAGCTAATGAGTAAATTTAAGCTGGGAGTGGTGATGCATACCTACAGTTCCAGCACTCAGGAGGCTCTGGCTGGATCAGGATCAGTAAGTTTGAGGCTAGCCTGAATAGTGTAAAATTCTTGTCATGATACAGCTCACACACACAAAAAAAAATTGAATTCTTCATTTATAGCATGGCAGTTATTGTGGATATATATTAGGGAATTGAAAGTGATTTTACTATTTAAAATCAGCCTTTTAGACATTCTTATTCTAATTCACATACAGGAATTCCTAGCTGTCTTCTTTCATTACGTTTAATTCCTTCAGGACAAAAATTCTATCTTATGGGCTGGAGAGATGGCTCAGAGGACCTGAGTTCGATTCTCAGCAACCACATGGTGGCTCACAACCATCCATTATGAGATCTGGTATCGTCTTTTGGTGTGCAGATATACATGGAAATAAAACTTTTTAAAAAAGCCACTGCTTAAACCATAAAAAAGTCCTATCTTATATTCATTCCCTCCACTGTGTCTTAAGTACATAGTGGTATAAAACTATTATTTGGTTACTTGCCAGGCTACCTTTTCTTTTAAACTAGTTTCCCTATGCATTCTCTGTATTAAAAATCTAAATAGGGAGCCTGGTGTTGGTGGCTCTCCCCTTTAATCCCAGCACTCAGGAGGCAGATCCCTGTGAGTTAGAGGCCAGCCTGGTCTATACAGCGAGTTCCAGGATAGGCTCCAAATCTATAGAGAAACCCTGTCTGGAAAAACAAAAAAAGAAATCTAAATAGGGGCTGCTTTTCCAGGACCCTGATTGGATCCCCCAGCACCTACATGGCACCTCACAAACATTCCTCCAACAACCTCTTCTAACCTCCACAGGCACTGCACACATGGGCACAGATGTACATAATAAAGTCAAAAAATTGAAAGAGCTTTGTAAATAGAAAATCTCAGAAAAGTCTCAAAGTACTTATAAGATACAATGAAAAATTGATAAGTGATGCTGTCAATTATAGCCTAAAGTACTAAATGCATGGATTGTTATTTAGTTCTTTCAGGTTCTGTGCACTTGCAATAAAAGTATTGACGCAAAGGTAGTGTGTGTGGCAAGGGGGATCAGTTAGCTACACTTCTAGTGCACAGTAATGTTGACTTGCTACACCTGAGCCTCCCCACCAAGACCGAACTAAAATTCCTGCTCCTCAAACCAGGGTCTGATGCTGTAGGGTCTCACTTTGTAGCCTCGGTTGGTATGGAACTGAGTATGTACTAGGATCAAAAACATGTGCATTGGCTCAGAGGTTAAGAGCACCGACTGCTCTTCCAGAGGTCCTGAGTTCAATTCCCAGCAACCACATGGTGGCTCACAACCATCCCTTATGATATCTGGTGCCCTCTTCTGGTGTGCAGATATACATGGAAGCAGAATATTGTATACATACTAAGTAAAATCTTACAAAAACAAACATGTGTGCATCATCATGCCCAGAAAGAAGAAATTTTAATTGTAAAGAAAATTAAAATGCCAAAAAATACAGCACACTACATGCTTATATAAATGGCACTTATAGGGGTGGTGGTGGTGCACGCCTTTAATCCCAGCATTCGGGAGGCAGAGGCAGGCCGATCTCTGTGAGTTCGAGACCAGCCTGGTCTACAAAGAGCTAGTTCCAGGACAGTCTCCAAAGCCAGAGAAACCCTGTCTTGAAAACACAAAAATAAAAATAAAAATAAATGGCACTTATAATGTAAACCTTAGAGCTTGAGACAGGATCTCCGGTAAACAAAACTGGCCTCACTATGTAGCCAAGGATGATCTTGAACTTCTGTCCTGTCTTCGCTACCTATGTGATGGAATTACAAGCAAACACTATGCAGACTCCTCATAATGTAAATTTCTGATCTAATTTATAGCAATGGCAAAACAATAGAGAATGAAGAAGGGTATGTGGAACAGATGCTGTTGGTGTCATTGTTCAAGCTATGAAATTAATAGACATATTTGAAAAGCTCAGTACTTGGAGTCATGAAATAGGAATTACACTTGGGAATGTGAATCAAGGAGGGGAAAAACGAGCTGGGGCTTGTTTTGGTTGATTCGGTTTATAAGCCTTGTCATTGAAAATTACACTACCTAGCTGGACTGTGGTAGCGCATGCCTTTAATCCCAGCACTTGGAAGGCAGAGGCTAATGAATCTGTGAGTTCGACGCCAGCCTGATCTACAGAGCTAGTTCCAATACAGCTAGAGCTGTTATGCAGAGAATCCCTGTCTCGAAAGCCCCCCCCCTGAAAAAGTTATGGTATCTAACTACAAAACATTTGTAATAAAGCATGAGTAGGCGTTCACTAAGGAATAGTCAGTTATTCATTTAATCCCACCTCCCCACTACTACAGCCCCAATCTTTCCACTCAAAATCTAGATAGATACTTGATCCCATCAAGATTCTATTCTCACTGGGCAGTGGTTGCGCATGCCTTTAATCCCAGCGCAAGGGAAGCAGAGTGAGTTCAAGGCCAGCCTGGTATACAAAGTTACACAGAGAAACCATGCCTCAAAAAAAAAAAAAAGATGGATTCTATTCTCACCCTTCCTAACAAAGTATGACAGGAAATCTCCAGTTTCAGTGGACATCTTTATTAATAGAGCATCAACTTCTCCAAACCTACAGCTGGAATTTCATCATATTTCCATGCTGCGTCATGAACAGTGACAAAGCTAACCAGAGGCTACTCAAAGAGAACTAAGCTTTTATAGCTCACTTTCTTTTACAGGCAGAATATAAATAGATGCACTCTAGAATGCACTTAGCCACTAAGGGATTAAAATGGGATCTTGAAGAATGTAGACAAATCCCGATGCAGTAAAGACGAGCCTCAGATGCTGTGCAACTGTTTAAGGGTTCCTGGTGCTGCATCTCCGCCACTAGCTGACACCAAATGGAGATGTGGAAAACACACTAAGTTGACTTAGAG